GGTTTTACAGTGTGTCGTGTGTGTGTGTTACAGTTGTGTGTGTTACAGTGTTGTGTGTGGTTACCAGTGTGTGTTACAGTGTGTGTAACAGTGTTGTTGTTACAGTGTGGTGTTACAGTGTGTGTGTGTTTAATTGACGACAGGGGGAGCCAAGCAGGTGTATTCGGGGCCACCCAACAGGACTTTTATTTAATATTCAGGTGTTAGATGAGTCCAACAGGTTGCAGACAGGAAATAGAAAATCCTTACATGTTGGAAAGACTGAGTCTAACTGAGCGGCTCTAAACGTCCCGCAGCTCAGGACGGGGTTTCTTGAATTTGGTTTACAGGTGAGGGGGGTTTGGGAGGGGGGTTGAGGGATCGAGAGGGTCAGAGTCAGAGGTGTACAGTGACCACAGTTCACTTCTGTTCGGGCATCAGGTCGTCGATGCTCTCTCCGGCCTCCAAAGACGTTTTCTTCCATGTCCACCAGAAGGTGTGACGGGCCGTCCACAACCATCTGGAAACCAGCTCCAACCTCTGAGAAAAACCAGGGACGATCCGGCGTTGGAGATGTCAAAAGACTCCGCCCCACCGCCGCGTGTCCACGGCCCACCTGGCAGGAGAAACACAGGAAGTTGATGTCAAGGGGACAGGTACCCACCTTTTATTGAGAGGTGGTTTTCTTGATTTTTTGTCCAACCCCTTTTCATAAACAGAATGTTAATTTACTGTCAAACAGATCAATAATCTGGATTGATTATAAGACGGTTCCAGCGTTATTCAATACTGTACGATAATTAAACAAGCAAGATAATTCAATTATTCATTTAATTGTAAAAGGCTTTTAATTTCTAATTCCATATTGCACCCTCTACCTGGCTCTCTACCTGTCTCTCTCTCACAGCACAGGAGAGCTCAGATTGGCTGTCTCTTCTCTCTACCTGTCTCTCTCTCACCTTGTGCTCTTTCTGCAGCCCTTCAGTCTCTTCAGGATCTCTCGAACTTGTCGTGCTTGCTGGACGTTGGGCAGTTTGACGTGGAACTCCGGCTCTCCAGTCCAAGTCCCCAAGGTTGGATGGACAGGGTGGAGGACGTTAGCCCAGGGTGTTCGTTCACATGAACTTCATGACCTCGCTCCTTGAACAAAGCCCTCGATCTTGCCAGAGGAGAGAACAAAAGAGAGAGACAGGGTTGGTCAGCTTGATGACGTGGTCCGGGTGATGTCATGTGGGAAACAGGAGTGAGGTCAGGGTCGACCTTGGTGAGTCCGGTGCAGAAGCGGGTTGAAGACCTCCCTCATGTTGCCTCCTTTCTGCATGCTGATTTGACACCGCAGGTGGTTCCTCCTCGTTCACCCACACCAGGAACGTTTGTTTCATTGTGGCCTTGCAGGGAGAGGTGGAGGGTTAAATACACACCACAGGAAGTCCATCAGTGCTCCGGCAGCAGTCAGAGGTTCAGGTCGGAGGTCAGGGTAGGAGGACAAGGTAGCGAGGTCAGGTCAGGAGGTTCAGGTAGGGAGTTTCAGGTTAGAGGTCATGTTGGAGGTTTTCAGGTCGGAGGTCAGGTTCCAGAGGAAGGTTAGGAGGTCAGGTCAGAGGACAGGTCGGGAGGGTCAGGTAGGGAGGTCAAGTACAGGACAGGGTCGGAGTTCAGGTTAGGACGGTCAGGTAGGAGGTAGGTCAAGAAGGTCAATGTTGGGAAGGTCAGGTTGGGAGGTCATGTCAGAGGTCAGGGTAACAGGACAGGTCGGGAGGGTTTCAGGTAGGAGGTCAAGGTAGAAGGTTTCAGGTCAGAGGTTTCAGGTTAGGAGGCAGGTGGAGGTCAGTGTTATGGGTTCAGTGGAGTCAGTTCAGAGGTCAGGTTACAGGACAGTCGGACGGTCAGGTAGTTACAGGTACTGACCAGAGCCGCGGCCGTCGGGCCAGTCGCGGGCCATGCCGGACGGGCCAGCAGCAGGGGGGAAACGGGCTTTATCAAACAGGAAGTTGGTCATCGGATCAGCTGCTTCTGCTCTTCCTTCCCGTCATGTCTCAGGAGCGTAAGTACTTCCCCCTTCAGGTCCCGTCCAAGGAGGTTCCAGACCTGGCAGCGCACAGGAGGGTCAGAGGTAGGTGACGGTTCGTAAACCCAACATCAGGACCTGTTTCAGTTAGGAAGGAAAGCAGCCTGACAGTCCTGACTTAGGGTTCACTAACACACATAAACTGTTGTACAATACACATTTATAGTAAATAATATATATATTGGATATATATAATAATAATATGTACACAATATATAATATGTAGATTTAGATTTATCGAATTATAAATATTATTAAGACTTGTTCAGCGTCCGGTTCAGTCCGGTTTAGTGTTGAATTTGAATATGAAGAGGAGGTTTTTGAGGCTTCATAAGAGTTCCAGCAGGACCACAGGCAGACTCACATTTACGTAAACACTTGCATTTTCACTGAACATGCTCACTTCAGGCTCCTGAGGCATGATGGAAATATCTAAATAAAGACAGCCTGAGAGTGTTCTCCCCTGGGCTTTTGGAGTGTCCCTGAACGCACCCATTCTCATTCTGTAGTTCAGTAGTCAGTTCTGTACAGATGATTTTCATGGCATTTTAGGGTAAAAAGCTAGTAGGTGGGATCTTGAGTTGATATGATTTTTTTTATAAACAGCTGTTGGCTTGCTTCACTCTAAAATATATTAATATATATATACTATATATAGTTTAATATATTATTATACTATATATAGTTAATATATATTATACTTAACATAGTTTAATATATATATAATATATATTAATATATATAACAACATAGTGTAATTATAATAAGTTAATATAGTTTACCAATCTATAAGTAGTAAATATACAAACAGTTTTTCAACAGGACAGGACAGTGATTGATACTTTCAATGGAGAGGGTTTTCAAATGCCGCCGGCGTTCTTCCCAACGGCTGAGTGCGGCGGGAGACAGAATCCACGGATGCTCCGTCCCGTCCGAACCGAGAGCTTCAGGACAATAGTTCGGATTCCAGAATCATCTCCACCCTGAAAAACAGAAACCCAGAAAACCAGAGCGTTGAGGTTGACTGTAGTTCAATCAATCCCTGTGAATTCTGGATTCTGGGCAGTTTTATAGTTTTTGCAGTTTCCTTGTAAACATTGGGAGTCGTCTGTGTTGTTGGTAACCTGCAGGGTTTTCAGAGTTTAGGTCAGTCTTGTGTTTGATCTGATGGTTTTGTATCCTCCATGGCGGTTCTTCGAATCACCGGGTTCCAGCAGGGTCTTTGAAGGACCTCGTAAGTCTTCCTCGTTTCTCCAGCGGACGCAGCCCCACCGTCATGATGAAAAACGGGTGAAACCTGCAGGGAACAAAATCGTAGATCCACTTCCTGCCATCTGGCAGCATTTGGCTGATAACCTGCTATAAAAAATGTTACTTACCGGGTTATGTGTTTATGTTGTTTGTTTTTTATTTTCCCACCATGGTTCATTGGCGATATCATGGAACTTCACTTATTGTACTGTGGTTTGGTTTTCTGTGGTGAATGTTTGTAGTATCAATGAAGTTGTTTTTTGATGAGGAGGAATCAATTCAATTGAATTCAATTTTATTGGAATAAAGGAATAAAGGATTCAAGCGTCAGGCAGAAAGTAAAACATCAGGTCTTCTGCAGGAGAATTTAAAACCTGAATCTGATGAGTCAATTCCATTAAAGGAGTTTAAAAAGTCCAGAAATAGAACAAGGCATCTGTGCTGAGTGACAACAACTCCAGGGATCTGGTTACCTTGAGGGGCCACCAGGTTTGCCGTCTGACAAAATGTGGGGGTTACGTACCTGGTTGGGGGATGTTACCTGGTTGGTTAGTGTTGGAGGGTTGTTACTGATTGGAGTTTGTTGTTGGGTTGTTACCATAATTATACATATAAAGTAGATGTTCGTTCCGCGCTGGCTGGCCAAATGGAGGTCGACGTCCGCCACCTGGCGGCATTCTTGGCACAGTTCAGCTCGTACTTCTAAACATTGTTTTAATGGTGCAATTGTACTTTTTAATATAACCATAACTTGCCATTCCTACCGATTTTCCAAACGGTTTGGGTTGTTATAAACGTCAGAGATTGTAGTTATGACACATACATTTATGAATAAAAGAAAAAAAAATCACACATGTTCAAAGCATCCAGAATTATTAGCCACGTTAAAATAACTTTGTAAGGAAACAAACTGTTTGTAAATCCGTCAAGATTTCAGCGAAGATAAGAGTATTGGGTGTTCGTGGCAGATTCACTCATCTTACATCAGGTACCACAGAAGGGGCGCCAGAAAGCTTGCCTGTGACAAGATGGCTGCCAGAGATGACGTTTAGAGACCCGCCGTAAGGACAT